AACAAGAGCTCTAAGAAAACGCAATGGTTTATGTTACAAGAAATTTGTCGGGTTATCTAATCAGTCTCGTAGGCAGAAATTCAACTCAGTGGAAACTTTCAGATAATTTCGAAATTTTAAATATAATTTTTATTATAAACTGTTATAAAGAACAGTTCGAGATTAAGGCATTAAGTTGACAAACCATTGAACCATTGTGTCCATAGCTGGAGATAGAAAAAAATTGCTAACTTGCTAGGAATTTACTTTGGTTGTGGGGTTTGAGCACCGACTATATTGTCCAAAACCGGAAATAGAAAGACTAGATAGGCACGTAATGGTTTATATGGAATTTCTTGGGTCATCTAAATAGGCTTATAGGTAGAAATTTACTTCGGAAACGGTTTGTAAATAAACGCGTTGCTAAAAAATTACATCGATTAGGGTTTTTAGATAATTTTTGTGATTTGAAATATAATTTCCCTTATAACTAAAATATTTTTTCTTAGAGTACAAGTCAAAATCAAAGCAGACGAATGATTTCATAAGCGAAAATCAAAAGCCTAGATGTACACGTAATGGTGTACATTACATCTGTTGGATTACGGGAGCAGATGGGTTCTTAGACAGAGTCTGGAATTGAAAACATAATTTTCATCGTAATAATAAAAAAAAATTTTTCTTTGGAAGTTAGGAAGAAACCAGTATACTTAGTTTTTAAACTATTATGTCCATGATTTATGATTTACATTAAATCTATTGAATTCAGTTCGGGTTGACTTTCAGATAATTTATGAAATTTAATTTTTAATTTAATTTAATAATTTTTATTTTATTAATTTTTAAAATTTTATTGATTTTTATCTTCTCAAAATATCATTAAAAAATTCTTTTGGTCAAGATCACACCATTTAATCGACAGACCCTTATGTTCAAGCCGGATATATGAAGACTAAAATATCCGTCAGAAGGAGAACATTGTTTATACTCAGCACATCATAGCCCAACAATCTTAGTCTCGTTCGTGCAAATGCTGGACATTAACGGAGAAAATATTCCAAGTGTCCACATTCTAAAGATAACATTGGCATATCGAATCTGTAATAATGTCGACCATGGCTATGTGTTGTCCACCAGTCTTGTGTACCATCGTCATCCGGATTAGTACCTTGAGGCCTTTTCACTTTAGTTGTAAGAAAAATTTTGCTTATTTTAGTTAGTTTCTTTCACAAAGTATTGAGGTTGAGAGGCCAAAGAACTTTTTCCTATCTTTGCGCTCATAGCTAACCTAACCTTTGTGAACTGTATTGTAAATAACTCATATCTTGAGATGAAAAGGTAATAAAGATACTGTATTAAATCAATAACTTTTGCTTAAGTTTTTAATAAATAATACTCAACTTCCAGAGTATTATGAAACATCGATTAGACTGACAATTATTAATGAAATTGCTTGAGCAATGCAACACCATGCCAATGAGCTGTCAATGTTTATTAATTGAAGTACAAAATCTATTAGAAATAATAATGGATAAAAATTTTATAGAAATGTTAAAACAATAACAACAATAAAACAGTGTGAACTTGTCAAAATGCATTAACTTCAGCAATTAAAAAAATGTTCATCAACGAAACAATTATCAAAAAATTGTTGTGTTGCTTCAAAGTTACAACAACAAGAACAACACAGAAATTACAAAACAAACAATTTGATTTAACATTCAATTAAACAATTAAAATGTCAAATAAAAAAACAACTAAACAATAACCTAAAATATTTCAAATAAGATTAGAGAATCCACAAATCCACGCAGTCTGACGTTTTCAAAGAAATTTTCTGGTAGCGCTTAAAAATCCAAAAATCTCAACTGCGTCAAGGAAACCCGTCAACATTTGAAGGATTCGCTATGCACGCACTTCAGACTTCAATGAAATCTGATATTTTTCTCGATTCTTTCGTAGAAACCTCACTTTTTTTGCAAACAATTAATGTTTGAAGTTTTTTAATAGTTTTTGCTTGAAGAAATATTTTAAGGGATCCATCCATTGACACATATATGAGAAATGCCTTTGCCATGAATCATAATTTCATGCTTCTGGTTTCTTTTCATAGTCTTCGCTAGGTAAACTCATTGTAGTTCAATGCATATATAAATATATGTATAAGAAATATAATAAGAAATGGAATTTCAATTATTTTATTGTTAATTAAATTATTGGAATAATTTTTTAATTTTGCATTGATTCAAGAAAAAATATTGAATTTCTGTTTTTAATGTTGCACTTTCTGCGAATATGTAATCTGATCTGTCAAAGATCGAAGAGCACCTATTAAAATATCTTGGTAATAATAGATAAATAATTCGCTTTAATATGATAGTAATTCTTTATTAAATTTATAATGGAAAAAAATTATTAAGATGGTCATTTCTCTGTCAATAGCACAATTTTCATATTTATTTATAATAGAAAATTTAAATTAAAATTATATTAATTATTATTATTATTATTAAGTATATTAATTGATTCTATACATAAGAAAGAATATATAATTCATGCAACTATTATTGGTTGCTCTACAAACAGAATAGTATTTAAATTTAATAATTAAAAATAAAAATATAATTAATTAATTCAATTATTCTACAGCTGGTTTATGATTTGGTTCTAATAAAACATAAACACAGCAAGTAATTCTGTTAAAACTTTCACAACAAATTAACAAGACTACAGAAGAATGTGTGAACATAAAAGTCAACTACGGCCTTGGGTCAGTTGGTTAAGGAGCGCTGACTCTCAGCTACAAATTTGGCAGGGCACGAGTTCGTTTCCTGGTACTTGAATTCTCAAAAAATTATTTACTAATAATTAAATATAAGAATTATTGCTAAGACTACTGATGATGGGTGTTTGGCAATATTCGAAACAGCTGTATGGTCACCCAAAAATTCAATTAATTAAAATAATATAAAAAAAATAAAATTTTTGTTGTTGTAGTTCACTACTGTTCGAAAAATCTCTTTTATTGATTATAAATATATTTAAAAAAAAAAAAATTATGATGTATATAAAATTATTTATACAAATATTAAAAATGGTGTTTACTAAAATTAAGAGCAAAAATAAACCTTGAAACCTTTTAATTTTATATACATTAAATAAGCAAATAACTCTCCACAATAATTTACAACAATGACTTGAAAAGTAAAACTTTATTTTTGCTAATTTTTTCCAGTTAGTACTATATATCCCATAATAACTATTAATACTACGTAATGTACTGCATAGTACCAACATTGTCATTATTAATAACCCATAAGGATAAATTTCAAGGATTACTAAGACGGCAATATTTCAATATATATATATATATTGATATATTTTTCTTTATTCGAAAAGCTTAGTTACTAATATTTAGATGGGACTAGTTCTTAATAGAAAAGTTTGTAGTGCTTCCTCCCGATAGTAGTCAGTATCCTGTTTCTTTCTATTCTATTCTTCTCTACTTGACTTCTTTTCTCTACTCATATTCTTATACCTGTGTTGCTAATGTTTAAATGGGCTCAGTTCATTATATAAAAGATTACAGTGCTTCGTTTTAATAGCAATCAAGTCCCTGTTTATTTCCATTCTTTTTTGTCTCTCTACTTGATTACAAGTTCTCTACTCATATACCTAAAAAAAAAGATCGAACTAGGAACTATACGAAGTATTTATAGACTTACACAGAGAACTCTATGTTGGTGACAGGATATTTTCTAAAATTAGCTTCTATCATCAAAAGAAGAGTTCTTTCTAATTGTATGAAACATAACTACATACCTTTCTACAATTACTATCCTATCTTCTTCGTCTATAATTGTTCTATTGACAAGTATGACAAGTATTTCCCTTGTTATTCTTGAGATAATTACATCAAGGAGATTCACTACTGACAGTCTTCAGTCAAAAGAAACACAGAATTTTCTGACTTTAATCCTTACAGACCTTTGAGTAATTAAAGTATTTAAAACTTATTTTTAAATTAAAAAAAGAATACTTCAGTATTTAGAATCTATGGAACTATATAAATGTTCCGTAAAGGAAATATAAAGTAAACTATAATAGACAATCCTTTTAATTTCAATTTATCACCTATTCCAAAATAAATGTGATTAACTTAATGTCAGAGGGTAACAAAAATATATTTTTTACTTCAGCACGAGTATCTAAAGGTTTCTTTATATAATATATAATTTATATTTTTATTATAAATTATAGTATCATAAATTGACATAGTCTATGGGCACGAATATCTAAACATATCTAAATAATTGATTTGGAAATACATTTACAATTGTCAAATTAAATTATGCAATTAAATTAACTAACAATCACGTTTGTGTCATTTTTTTTTAATTTTTATAAAGTTTAATAACATTACTAAAAAACTTATAGGTTAAGTAGGTAATAGTTGATGAAATTTTATTTTTGAATTAAACAAGAAAAAAATGTTAGTTAAAAAATGATTTAAATTAAAATCTATATAATATTAACACCAGAACAACGTAATGCGCGTTTTTGATTGAGTAGTACAATAGTAACAAATTCTATTGCGATAATTAATACAAATTTTAATGATGAAGTATTTATTTAATAATATCTATGAAATTGAATATTAAATCCAAATAATATTAGGTATATTATAAATATTTTTTTTATAAATAAATAAGTATTTATATTTAACTTCCAGTTTAATATTAATATAATTACTAATATAATATATAAATATTATATTATTATAAGTATCGTATTATATATAAGTTTTAAACTTATATTATTATATACTTCAATTATATTGGATAATAGAATAGTTATTTGAGTAATAATGAAGAGCAAGATGTTGAAGGGCCTACAAATATATCCATGCATAAAAGATAAGGAAAAATCCCTACACATCTTTAGTGAATACTCAGCTCTTAGACGTTATAGTGGAAGAATTTTTCATAAATAATTGAACCACATATCAGAGTAGACAAACAATGACTGCTATAGGAATAAAAGGAAAGATAAAGTCTTTGGTGGATATAGCTGAAGTAAATGAAATCCTTTAATAACTATAGAAGGGGCAAGATATAAGTATCTAACAATACATTTTCATGGACAATTCATTTTAAAACTATAACTATGGAGGAGCCAACATGAAGCATTGACAATGATTGCGGGAAGAACCATAGAAAAATTAATGTCAAACGCAAACCTATTTTGATAATATATATGCAGATAAATACCTAACAGAAAATACAATCTTCATAGCTTTAAGTACTTCTCGGAGAAACGTACACTGAGAGAAAGAATACATAATATTATTGATAAAGATTATAGGAGACATTATATGCAAATCCAAATTCAATCTTTTTATTTAAGAGTTTACATGAAAAAATTAAACTACACAATTTCGGAATTATCTATTCTTAGAAACCTAATTTCTACAACTTATTTCCTATGTTCTTGGAAATTATCTGTATTTCAAAATATAATTTTCGAATACTTTACCGCCACCCGAAAGCGGTATTACCATAATCAACAGCTACAATTTATTGCCATTACTGTTATTTATAAAATATTTAGAAAATACACTTCAGGCATTATATATAGATTAAATGTTATTACTTATTTTTCTCTTGAGTGTTTTCCATTAAAACTCCATTTTAAAGTAAAATATCAAAAATAATAAAGTTGTGACCCATAAAATGCACAAAATTGGTAAGTCAAGTGCTTCTGTGAAGCACAATATATAAAAAATAATAATAATAACAACAACAAAATCACAACTATAAAAACTCTATTAAAATGTGTGAAAGAGCTACTTGGGAAGTTGAGCCGTAACACCAATGAGGAGTACATAATGTTTTTGTAGTTATTTTTGTTACTCAAGAAATGTATTATTATTAATTTTTACCTTTTATGAAAGCCAAAATGTCAATTAAGTGTCAAACACAACAAGTTTAATTGTAATTTAAGCCAAAAAGTTCAGTTACTTTTATATTGGGTGCTTGAAAAATTATAAAGAGATAAAAAATTATAATTAAATGAAGTCGATAAAGATATTTTTTTTTTCTGTAAAGTAATTGAAATGACCACTTCAGATAAAAAATAATAATAAAATAATTAATATACAACGGCCAAAAAACGACTTAATTATACGCGAACAAAAGACGCGTTTAGGATCTTAAACTCTTTTTTTTTATATATACCTATATAGAAAAAAAGTTTATTTTAACAATAATTACGCTGTTTTGTGCTATTATAAAGATATTTTTGTAAAATTGATAATCATCACAAGTATTCGTACCTATTAGCCGTTATGGAGAGTAAAAATAAAATGTACAGCTTAACTCACGATAATTGCCCAATTTTAATTAATAAAGTTGTGGATTTTATATGAAATTGTATTAAACCAATGAAAAAAGTTGGTAGTATGTCAGTTTCACAAAGTTTTCTTTAAAACTGTTATTATGATTTGTAAAGAATTTACATTATCAGTAGTATTAAACAGATATCAATTTATTTAAAACCCAAGTGTCTAGTATTCACCACACAAAATTTTGCATACGAACTGAAATTGCTCAACATCTTCCTCTTTAACTATATACTCTGTTGGTCACAAAAAATACTTTACAGCTCCAGTCCAAAAACTAAAAACTAACTTAGTTGAATCAACTACTTTCAAAATAAATCATTTTATATTATGGCCGTGTGCGAGTTCGAGTAAATTGAGGTAAAATACATTGAAATTTCCAAGGAATTTTTTGCACTGCCCTTATGTAAATATTTATTTATGTATTTATTACACTTATTTACTAATTTTGGTTAAAAGTTTTTAAATTTATTAATTTAATTAATAATCATCTTATAATATTTTCACAATGGCAACACCTAATTTACCTAATTTTTATCTAATTTGTGCTACTCGAAGTTCTAATAAATACCAACATTCGCTGCCATACCGACATAATTTACTGTTTCCCTTAATTTACCATCAATTTACTCGAACTCGCACACGGCCTACGAATGAAAGTATATAAAAAGCCATATATCCACACATCGTTTACAAAATAATAGAATTCAAGATTAGTTTTGGTGTAATTACTTTACGAGTTACGAAAACCTCAACTAACCTATTTCTAAATGGCGGCAAAATAATTAATAATAATTTTTATATAATTAAGTTCTTATATAATTTTATTATACTTTAAATACAATGTTCTATAATTTATTATATTTTAGTCATCAACAATTATAATTTTAAAGCCTGTACATATCAGTTAGCTCGATAAACTACGAGGTACAAATAATAAATAGTACCAATTTTTTACAACTGGTGTATCTTCAAAATGTGTAGGAGATTTTCCCATAAAATTAAACATGTTAAAGAAATGTAACGTGAGAAATTTAATTAAAGACTCATCAGTCAATTATTTTCAACTGTTTCAAATAATTAAAATAATAAGTATGGCGAAGTAGTTGGAAATAATTATTTAATTCTTTTACGAACTATTCTAAAAGACGAATACAAGAAACTACATTTCACCAAACTACCCCAAAATTGCTTTCGAATTGGCTTTAACACTCACAAGGCAATTTGTTTGCTCATAGATGGCACTGCTACACGTTTAATTTGCTGCTAATTTGTTGCTTTGTAGTTTTGATAGAATTGGTTGTTGTCATGACTAAATCTAATTAAAAGAAATCCAACTAATTAAAGTTCTCTTTAACAATTAATATAAGCGGAGCATTTCAAATTGAAAAGATATATTCAGATGTGTGTGTGCGAAGTACACATATATAACATTAATTAAATTATATCACATTATATTCATTTAGAATTATAATCTAGAATTACATATAATCATAAAATGATGAATTGGGGTTCATAAAAAATATATAGCGTAGAGGTAAGTCCTCTACTTACGTCTACACATCATGGCTTACAATTATAAGTTCATAAAAATATTAAATATAGAGATAATAGATTTTTAACTATATAAATCATGTTCTACAGGATAATTTTTTTAAACAAAAGAATATACAATGGTCATTAGTATATAAAATTTGGGTATAAAACTATTATTGCAAAGATATACATTTTTTGAGGAACTTATGCACAATAATAATAGGAGTCCACAAAACCACTTCAAAAAGAAATTAAATTTAAATTAAATTTGTACTGTGATTAATAAATATTTAATGAATTTTTTATTTTAAGACTAATTTACAGTAAATAAAGTTCTATAGACAAACCATTGCTAACACCTCAGAATTGCATCAAAATTCCATACAACCGAAAGATTAAAATATACTCTCATACTTTCATACATCATGATATACATATATTATGTATATATACATATATATTTTACTAATACAAATGAATTAATGCTTAACAAAGCCGATTTGCAATGAACGCATTAATATTTTTCGCTCTGGAAATCAGTACGTAAAAAATTCTGGTTTACAGGTGGACTTATCATTAAGTCCACCTGTAAATGGAATTTGATTTAATTTCAAGAAATTTGGATTTTAAGCTGTCGCAACGTCACTAAAGATTAAAATGATGAACTACAATATTATTTTATTTTAATTGCATTGCAGTTGATTAGTAAAATCAATTTTGTAATATGAATGGGGTTTCATTATAAATTGTACTTCACTATCAAACATAGCTGGACTGTAGTCACTGTTCCAAACTTTATTTATGAATTGACATCGGATTATTTGACATATGTTAAAAAATTTTTTTTAGACTGTAACTCCATCAAGAAATTAATGAAAAAAAAGAAACGTTCAAGCATACTAAGACATATTAAAAATAGACAACGAGTTAGGAGCATGAATATTCGTACTACATGAAGAATGTACAGAGACAGTTGACGAACTAAAGCGACTCTAATATACTCTCATATAGGTTTCAGGAACATTGTTGGGAATGAAAACCTCCTTATACCCCTTATAAGGTACCCCTTATACCTAGGGGTCCCGTTCTATGTTCCGTTGAAGAGCGTTTAGAAAAGTACTTACTTACTGAAGAAATAATAGGCGAATCACTTCCTTTTTTTTCTTCAGGTTGTATTTTTATATATGTAATAAATGTACTTAATCTAATAGAAGTAAGAAATTTTCTTGAAAATAAAAACTGTTAATGAAATCGTATTAATATTGTGTGTCTCAAAAAAATATAAAAGGATTTAAATGTCTCTACTGGCTAAGCAAATTTCGAATTATAATCGCTTAATTTTAATTTTTTGATGCTTTGCGACGGTACGCGTACATAATAAACCTTTATACTTATACCCCTAATGCTCCATGCTATACTTGAGTGAAATTGTGGATTAATATGATTATAGCAATTTTCGGACAGTTTACTGTATTTTAATGGACTGAATGCTTTGATGCTGTTGAAGACGCTGATGAAACCAATACATTCGCAATTATTTTATTTCAACATCATCTTATAAAACATTAAACATTGTTAAAGCGAACGAAATACTTAGCATGTAATCACAGTAAAAACACACTAATACCTTAACTGGTCGTATTGTAGAGATCTCTAGGACTTTGAGTTAAGAATATGTGATGTTTTTAATCCGCAGGCATGTATGACTCAATGAGTCGTGCATGAATGCAAGTGGTACTGGCCATTTGTATCTTCAAAAGTTTTTTCCTCTAGGTTCGATGCCAAAAAAACTAAAACATGAATACCTATCATGTAAACGAATTTTCAATTTACAGAATTAATCAAGTGTAGCTGGCTTAAAAAGTTAATGCACCAAAACTATTCCTTAAAAATTACTCTAGTGCGGCATAGATTTAAATTGTTCAATTTAAATTGTTTTAAAATTCAAAACTAATTTTTTTTAAACATATATTTGATTGTGATATTGTTATTTAAATAATTTTTTTCATCCAGAAGAATATCTCATTAGCTGCTCATTAGATATTTTCAAATAATTTTGTAATACAAAGATTAACATTTTTTTGGTAATTTATTACTAAAGAATTCTGAACTCCACAACACACCCTCCTCCTGTGCTGT